TTTAGGGGCTCAGCCCTCTAATGTTACCTTTGCTCTGGAAGCCCAGGGGCTGTCAGGCAGAGAGGAACTTTGCTGAAAGGCAGGTCGTCCCTGCAGAGCTTGAAGAACAATCTATCTGTGCTGGCATGGGGCCCATCCCACCTACGATGCCAGTGTAAGTCTGTGACAGTCACTCATGTTCAGAGCATGTGGACTGAGGCTCTGAAGAACGACTTTATGATAGGCACCTTCATCTCCATTTGGTGGGTCCAGAGCAAGCAGCCTGAGGGTCCCATGGGCCCAACCTCACCCTCCATCCTTATTTCCCTGCCACTCCAGGGCTCCTCCTCAGCCAGACGTGCCTGTGAATGCTCCTTGATGACTGTATTAGTTTGTTCTCATGCTGCCAATAAAGACATACCCAAGACCAGGTAATTTATAAAGAAAAGAGGTTTAATGGGCCCACAGTTCCACATGGCTGGGGAGGCCTCACAATCATGGCAGAGGGCAAAAGGCATGTCTTACATAGTGGCAGGCAAAAAGCAAATGAGAGCCAAGCAAAAGAAGAAACCTCTTATAAAACCATCGGATCCCATGAGATTTATTAACTACCATGAGAACAGTATGGGGGAAACCGCCCCATGATTCAGTGATCTCCCACCAGGCCCCTCCCACAACACATGGAAATTATGGGAGCTACAATTCAAGATGAGATTTGGGTGGGGACACAGCCAAACCAGAGCCAGCCAATGGCCCTGGCTTCCCTCCCATTAGCTCTCTTCTACTTCCCAGGATCTTTCCAGCTTTGTTCTTCGTCTTCTTTTTTAGAGACTGAAGTCTCACTGTGTTGCCTAGGTTTGTCTTGAACTCCCGGGCTCAAGGGATCCTCCTACCTTGGTCTAACAAGTAGCTGCGACTATGTGCGCACACCACCACCCCCCACCCCACAACTTACCCATCCTCCCCAGCCCAGTGAAATCCCTAGGTTCTTCACACTCCTGTTAGCTCCAGGCACCAGCGGCTTTGCCTGCTACAGAATGAATAACATTATAGCCTCTTAGAGCAAAAAGGTCATGGGGACTGGGGAGGCTGGGAGTTCTCTCTTCATTCAGAGATTAAACCGACCACCGGGAGGGGTGACATGGCTTGCCTTAGTCACCAAGCAAGGTTGGGAGAGTATTTCTGGGATGGTCATTAGCACTTTCTTTCCAAAAGGAGGACACCACAAACTCACTTTCATGATCACGGTATCCCCCCGACAGGTAAAGTGTGCAAATTCACTTTCATTCCCTTTTTGTCTTTGATGCAGCTCTGAAGTATTTTAATTCTTAAAATTTACATGTTCATTATGACACAGAGACAGGTTTTCTGTTTAGGAGAGGGCCTGATTCCATTAAGGCTGATCCATCATATGTTGCCTGTTCTGGAATGAACATGAGAGACCAGAATTGAGCTTCCCAAATGGTGGGTCACATGACCGAGTGTTGTTCCAGGAGAACACTGCAACATCCAGTATGAGAGCACTGCACACACCATGTGTGTGTTGGGATGCTGGGCTGAAATGTATTATTGAGCAAGTGTTATCATATTTGTCTGTGGAATTCTATTTAATAGCTCTATCTCATATGTGCTGATTGGGTCTCAAATCTGGATCTCTTACCCCAACATCTTTCTTGAAAATCCTTCTTTTTAAATAAGTGTTGGCCGTGTGCAGTGGCTCATACCTGTAATCCCAACACTTTGGGAGGCCAAGGTGGGTGGATCACCTGAGGTCAGGAGTTCAAGACCACCCTGACCAACATGGGGAAACCCTATCTCTACTAAAAATACAAAAATTACTGGGCATGATGGTGGGTGCCTGTGATCCCCTACTTGGGAGGCTGAGGCAGGAGAATCGCTTGAACCTGGGAAGCGGAGGTTGCAGTGAGCCAAGATTGCACCATTGCACTCCAGCCTGGGCAACAGAGTAAGACTCCGTCTCAAATAAGTAATAAATAAACGTTATAGAAATACTAAAATATACTGTGAATAATATAACACCCACATACCACCATCCAAGTTAAGAAATAAAGCATTACTAATCCAGTTTTGCTCCCTGCAAACTCATCCTTCATCCCATTCTCTTTCCTTTTGTTTTATAAACATCCTACTGGGAGGATCACTTGAGCCCAGGAGTTTGTGGCTGTAGTGTGCTAACTGCACCTGTGAAATGGCCACTGTGTTCCAGCATAGGTAACATAGCAAGACTCCATCTCTAAACAAAATCCTTTTTTTTTTTTTCTTTCTGAGACAGAGTCTCACTCTATCACCCAGGCTGGAGTGCAGTGGTGCCATCTCGGCTCACTGTAACCTCCATCTCCCGGGTTCCTGCCTCAGCCTCCGGAGTAGCTGGGACTACAGGCACATGCCACCACAACTGACTAATTTTTGTATTTTTAGTAGAGATGGGGTTTTGCCATGTTGGCCAGGTTGGTTTCGAACCCAGGGTCTCAGATGATCCACCTGCCTCAGCCTCCCAAAGTGCTGGGATTACAGGCATGAGCCACCATGCCCAGCCTAAAAGAAATCCTGAATTTGACATTTGTGCCACCACACCCAGCAAATTTTTGTTCTTTGTTTTTTGTTTTGTTTTGTTTTGTTTTTTGAGACAGAGCTTCGCTCTTGTCGCCCAGGCTGGAGTGCAGTGGCACGATCTCAGCTCACTGGAACCTCCATCTCCCAGGTTCAAGCGATTCTCCTGCCTCAGCCTCCCGAGTAGGTGGGATTACAGGCTCACGCCACCGTACCCAGCTAATTTTTATTTTTAGTAGAGATGAGTTTTCACCATATTGGCCAGGATGGCCTCGAACTCCTGACCTCAGGTGATCCACCCACCTCGGCCTCCCAAAGTTCGGGATTACAGGCATGAGCCACTGTGCCTGGCCCAAAGCATCTCATTGTATAAATCCAACAATTTATTTATCCATTCATTGTTTGAGTACATTTAGGTTATTTCCTGCTTTCCCTCTTACAAGCAATGCTGCAGAAACATTCTGGCCCATAGCTCCTCCGGCACTGTACAAGAGTTTCCCTAGGGCACATACATAAGAGTTGTATTGCTGGGTCATGGGGAATGCTCTTCTTCAAATGTACTTGCTATTGTCAAACCTGAGCTGTCTTTTCAGGAGCCTACTAGTGGTTCTCAGCCCTGGCTATGCATTAGAATCACTTGGGAACTTTTAAAAAATATGTGGGTATCTGGATAACTCCACTGACCCATGGAATCATAATCTCCAGGGATGGGACTGGGGACCTGCAATTTTGAAAGCTCCCTGGGTGGTTACACAGCCAAGGTGGAGAACAGCTGGGACTGAGTCGTGGCCCACTCTGTCTCAGCTTCCCAAGGTCAGCTTATCTTAGACTTGCTAATATCACTCAGCAGCTGGGCAGAGAGAAGGGACTAAATAAGTAAAGTCTGAATGAGTAAACAAAACATTTAAAACGAACCCTTTAGGGCTGGGTGCGGTGGCTCATGCCTGTAATCCCAGCACTTTGGGAGGCCAAGGCAGGTGTATCACTTGAGGTTAGACATTCAAGACCAGCCTGACCAACATGGTGAAACCTTGTCTCTACTAAAAATAGAAAAATTAGCCAGACGTGGTGGTTCACACCTGTAATCCCAGCACTTTGGGAGGCTGAGGTGGGTGGATTACTTGAGGTTGGGCATTCAAGACCAGCCTGACCAACATGGCAAAACCTTGTCTCTACTAAAAATACAAAAATTAGCCAAGTTGGTGGTATGCGCCTGTAATCCCAGCTACTCAGGAGGCTGAGGCAGGAGAATCAGTTGAGCCTGGGAGGCAGAGGTTGCAGTGAGCTGAGATGGTGCCACTGCACTCCAGCCTGGGCTACAGAGCAAGACTCCATCTCAAAAAAACAATAAAACAAACCCTTTAGGCTGGGTGCGGTGGCGAATGCAGGTAATCCCGGTAACTATCTCCTACTGTTGTGAGGGTTAAAGGAGATGGTGCATGTAGAGCACTTGGCACATATGAAGTGCTCAAGAAAGAGCAGCTCCTGCAGCCTGGTGCAGTGGCCCACACCTGTAACCACAACGTGTTGGGAGGCTGAGGCAGGAGAATTACTTGAGGCTAAGAGTTCGAGACCAGCCTGGGCAACATAAAGAGATCCGCCGCCCCCCCGCCGCCCATCTCTATAAAAAATAATAAAAACTAGCTGAATGTGGTGGTACATACCTGTAGTTCCAGCTACTCAGGAGGCTGAGGTGGTAGGATCAACTTGAGCTCAGGAGTTGGAGGCTGCAGTGAGCTCCACGCCACTGCACGCCAGCCTGGGTGACAGAGCAAGGCCCTTTCTCTGGAATAAAAAAAAAGAGAGAGGCTGGGCACAGTGTCTCACGCCTGTAATCCCAGCTACTTGGGAGGCTGAGGCAGGAGAATTACTTGAACCTGGGGGGTGGAAGTTGCAGTGAGCCAAGATCCTACCATCACACTCCAGTCTGGGCAACAAGAGCAAAACTCTGTCTCAAAAAAAAAAAAAGAGAGAGAGAGAGAGTAGCTGCCATTTTCAATGTTATTGATAAAGCAGGTAGGTGTTTCTGAAAAATGCACCAGACACTGTCTTGGACTGGAAGGTGCTGATGTGTTACTGAACCTCCAGACAAAGTTGGCGAACCTACCAGGGCGGGACTTTCTGACTTGAGAAGCTGTCCTATCTATGAAGATCCATGTTAGAGAATATTAAAGAGTAGGATTGGGGGCAGTAGCTTTCCTGTGGCAAGTACTCACTAGATGCCAGATACTGGGCAAAGGAGTTTGCAGACATCTCTCATTTCACCCTTGCAATCCATGAGGCAGGTATGACTATTCTTCCCATTGTCCAGAGAGGGAAAACAAGTCACATGGAAGCAAGTCATGCAGCAGAGCTAGGATTGGAACGGAAGTGCCTGCATCCTCCAGCACCTGCATCCCAAGCCACTGTGCTATGCCTCCCATTGATGCTTTCCCATGTCTGCCATTTAGCTTTGCTCTGGTCAGTGACAAGTTGTACCAGCGGAAAGAGCCTGTCATCAGTTCTGTGCACACCAAGGTGAAGGGGATAGCAGAGGTGAAAGAGGAGATCGTGGAGAATGGAGTGAAGAAGTTGGTGCACAGTGTCTTTGACACTGCAGACTACACCTTCCCTTTGCAGGTAAGCACCTCGTAGCATTCTCCCAGGCTCATCACTGGTCACCGTTGCCAGGGCCTTGCTCCCTCCCCCTAGGATCTAGAGCCTCACTCCAGAAAAAACGCTGGCCCTATTTTAAAAGCTCTGTGAACATCTCAACTGAGAAAACCTAAAAATTGCAAACCTGGGTGAGATCCAGGAGATGATCCTTTGCTTTATCAAGTCCTACAGGGTTTCTCAAAATAGCCACATGTCCTGGTACATTGAAAACAGGATTTGATTCACTCACACTTGATGTATATGCAGCTTTTTAGAGGCACAGCCACCAAGCCAGCAAGGTCTGCCTAGATTTAGAAGGACAGAGAACTTTCTACCGAAGAGTACCAGCCCTTCTAGATTGTGTGGCGTTTTATCAACAAAAACGACTCCAGGAGACCATTCTTGGGTACATTTTTCCACCAAGAAAGGATGTAAATGACAAAAAGAAGAAAGGCATCAGTCACTGAGAGAAGGCGTGTGACTTCTAAATTTGCAAGCAGGGAAAATGAAAGCAGAATTGCCAAAAAGGAGAAATTAAAGTAGGGTTGAGGAGGCCAAAAAACAGAGAAGGGGGCGGGAGGGACGAAGGGGCAAGTTTGTGGCCTGGGGAGCTAAAATGCTTTGCAAAACCCTATAAAGCCCAAGTTGCTATCTATTTGTTTCTAACAGCCAGTCATTAAAATCCTGTGATTGCTCGGGTGGTGGGATGCCCTAGTGCCTTTCATTAAAGTCCGGGAAAATCTGAACAGCGTTCCAGTGAAGCCTGCTTCCCTACCCTCGCCTCCTCAGGTCTCTTGAGTTTCAATTTAATGAGATTTTACTGTGTTAAAAAAAAAAAAAAAAAAAAAAAAAAAAACACGAAAAGGCTGCTTTTGAGACTGCAGTGGTAAATGACTCCTCAACCCATGCAAATGCTCCTTCACTCTCCCCCAGCTCAGCAGGGCTGCCCGTCCAGCTTTGATATTAAGCCCTCGGCATATTCCAAGTTGCCCACAGACCCTGATTTCTAGAAGCTTAGAAAAGTGTAGAGGTTCGCCCAGCAAGCTGGATTATTATAATTAAGTAGTTCTCTTTTCAAAGGCTTTGCATTTCTTTAGCCTCTCCTTCTCCACAGGGGAACTCTTTCTTCGTGATGACAAACTTTCTCAAAACAGAAGGCCAAGAGCAGCGGTTATGTCCCGAGGTAAGGAGGGGACCTGGAGTGGTGGGTCAGGTCGTAAGAGTTCCTGGGGGAGATGCACGTCAGAAGAAGCAGAAATTAGGACCCTGGGTGTATTTCAGCCCACAAATATTTACCTGCCTCTTTTCTGGGGTAGGGCTGGGCTGAGTGGAGGAAGGGAGAGAACACATGGCAGTGTCTCTCCATGGCCACCGGATCTTTGTCTGTCTGCCTCAGTCTCCGGTTCTAGCACTAGGGACCCGTGCAGACGTCAACCCTGCTCTTTCTGTCTCTGGCTCTCTTCACAGCTTATGACAATGGTGATTCTTGGCATTTGCACAACATTTCACATTTGATTTGAGGCTCACAATGACTTTAGGAGAAAAATGGCATTTTACAAACCAGAACACAGATTCAGAGAGGTTGTGACTTCCCCAGGGTCACACAGCTTGCTGCAGGCACAGCCAGGGTTAGGACCTGAGTGTCCTCACTCACAGCTTCTCTTACCATGGTTCACAGTGAACTGTCTGCAGGGCCAGTTTTGGAAAACCTGGCACACAGCTCTCTTGCTCATTCACCCACTTCTTAGAGTCTCAGCCTCTCTGTCAGGTGCATGGGCCCCCATAGTTCCCTGCCACCAACCCAGACAATCTTTCCCAACTTGGCTCTGCCCTCTCCACAATGCTGCCTCTTTCTGGAAGAGCTTCTTCCCTATCAAATCATATTTGTTTTATTCTGGGCCAGGCACGGTGGCTCACACCTATAATCCCAGCACTTTGGGAGCCCAAGGCAGGAGGATCACTGGAGCCCAGGAGTTCAAGACCAGCCTGGGCAACATAGTGAGACCTTGTCTCTAAAAACAAAACAAAACAAAAACTGTATTTGTCCTATTCTGTACCTCACCATCCTGCTCTCTGCTCTTCAAGATGAAAACCAGCTATTCTTCTAAGTTTATCTATACCAGCGTGTTACTGCTAGGCATTACCGGTAACTCCCAACCTCCCAGCCTCCCCTCTCAGGTAACGTAACTGTGCTGTACCAAGGACCATTCCCAGCACTGACAATTGCAGTGGAGGATCAGCACCAGCCAGATCCTCCACTGATGAGTAGGCCCAGCCCTGCCGGTGGGGTTTTGCTCACAGGCCCACTCTGGCAACAAGGTCTAGCTTCCTGAGTGTCCAGGAACTCTGGGCAAAAGTGCTGTCTTAGAGTACAGTCTTTGCCATCATTTGTACCCAAACTCAGAACCAGCACAACATTCCCTTGGTGTCTATCTTGATAACACTCCCCCTAAAAGGAGAGCTTTCTTTGTTTGTTTTGTCCTCATCGCCCCTTAACTCTCCCTGCCATTCAGGTGAAATCTCTGACAGCCAGGCCAGCCAAGCCCTCCCTTCTGTCTCCCTTCCCAGCAGTGTTCTGTCTCCAATCCAGTTTGGGGGCCCTGGTTCTCTTTTGTTCCATCCTTTGGTCATCTCTACACCACACTCCACCCCCGTGTACACATAAAGACACTTTTGGAGTTATTGAGACTTGGAAGAAAGAGAGTTAGGATAGCCCAGAGATTAAGAGCCTGGGCTCAGAAGCTAGACTGCTAAAGGTTCAAAACTTAAAATTCTTAGCTCTGTGACCTCAGGCAGGTGACTCTTCACCTCTCTGTGCCAAGTTGTGTGCATCTAAAAAATGGGGCTGAGAACAAAACCTAGCTGTTCAGATCATTGAAACAAATGAGTGAATACCTGTGACATGCTTAAAACAAGGCATGGTACCTTATAAGCACTTAGTGAATGTCAGCTGTTATGATTCAAATGACATGTTACTCCTCAGATGGGATGTCACTCAGAGTGGCTGGAACCCAACAGGCTCCGTGGAGGCACTGCCAGCCCAGAGAGCACATGTGACTCTTTGGGATTTTAACTTGTGCTCCAGGCTGGTTTGGGCTGGTCTAATTGGACATTCACCTCCTCTCTGCCCATCAACACCCTTCTATCTCTGGTTGTCTCGGTAAATATGAGCAAGTTCCAGTTACACACCAACCTGAATAGATATTTGCTCCAGTTACCTGTGGCTTCAAAACAAACTACCCTGATTATGGTGGGCTTAACACAAGCATTTTATTAACTTTCACAGTTCAGTGGTTGACTGAGTTCAGCTGGGTGGTTCTTCTACTGGTGTCACTAGGGATCTCTCAAGGAGCTGCAGTCGGATGGCAGCTGGGGTTGGCATCCCTTGGAGCTTCAATTGGCACCCAGGGATAGCTAGACATCTCTTCCTCTCTGGGAACCCCTAAGAGTTTCCCTCTCTTCAAGGTCTCTCTGCATTGTCTCTCCAGCAGGGTAGTCAAACTTTCCAATAGTGGCTCAGGTTCCTCAAAACAAAACAAAACAAAACAAAACAAAAAAATAGAAGCTTCCTGGCCTTCTTAAGGCTTAGGCCTGGAACTGGCAACAGCATTCCTTCTGCTGCTTCTATTGATTTTGCAGTCACAGCACAGGTTCAGCTTCAGAAAGTAGAGGAAACACTCCACCTCTCAATGGGGAAAGTGACCAAGAATTTGTGGCCATCTTTAATCCATGCAACAATCACAAAAGAGAAGATTACAACAAAACTAATGCTGTTTTTTGTTTTTTTTTTTTAAATTTTAGAATTCCTTTTGGAGAGCAAAATAAAATTGATTTCTATTCTCTCCTGAGATTCATCTCCAGTTGATAATGAAAATGTAACTTTCTATGAGCCACAGTGAATGATCACACATTCATTCCTTCCATGACTATCAAGACCTACTATTTGCCAGGCACTTGGGCTACAAAGATATGACCTTTGCTCTGTATTCAAAGGGTTCATAGTCTAATCTGGGGAGTCACAAGGGGAGGAGACCAACGGCATGCCATGTGACTAAGGCAGTCTGGGAAATAAAGAGATCATGAGAGAATTTGAAAACTACAAGAAACATTCATTGAGCATGTACTATGGTGCTAAACCCTTTCTTTTCATAACTCATTTAATCTTCACAACAACCATGCAAGACAAATCTGTTGGCTGGACACGGTGGCTCATGCCTGTAATCCCAGCACTTTGGGAGGCCGAGGCAGGCGGATCACGAGGTCAGGAGTTCAAGACCAGCCTGGCCAAGATAGTAAAACATCATCTCTACTAAAAATACAAAAATTAGCCAGACATGGTGGTGTGTGCCTGTAATCCCAGCTACTTGGGAGGCTGAGGCAGGAGAATTGCTTGAACCCAGGAGGTGGAGGTTACAGTGAGCCAAGATCACACCACTGCACTCTAACCTGGTCAACAAAGCAAGACTGTCTCAAAAAAAAAAAAAAAAAAAAAGGCAAATCTGTTCACCCTGCTTTTACAGATGAGGAAACTGAGGCTCAGAGAAGTGAGTGAGTTGGCTGAGGTCTCTCAGCTAGAAAATGGTGCAGCTACTGCTGAACCAGGTATACCTGGGTCCAAGACCTAGGTCCTTGGCCTGAATCACTGTAGAAGCCACAAATTGCACAGATGACAAGGAGCAGAGGCTATTTTCACACCTATGTCATATTCTGGCTTCCTCAAGACTGGCCATGAAGCCTGCTCCCTAGAAAACAGGAAGAGAAATATGCATAAACCAGGGCAGCTCATTTCTCTCTTCCACGTTCTGTCCTTTAGCCCTGAGACCCAGCTGGTCTCGTTTTCTTAGGCCAGGCGAGTGTCCTGGCCAATGTCTCTCAGTTCCATGTGTCCTGCTGAGTCTCCGCACCTGTTTGCCCTGCTTAGTCCTTTCAGCCACAGGGCCGCTTGGACCAAACCACCTGTCCTCCACCCCAGCCAGCATCCCTGAAAGTGATTCCTAGCTGCCCAGACCTCTGCTTTACCCATTTTTATTCATTTTTATTGGGATATAATTCACATACCATAAACCCCACTATTTTAAAGCTTACAATTCAGTGGTTTTTAGTATATTCACAGAGTTGTGCAACCATCACCACCATCTAATTCCAGAACATTTTCCTTTCTTTTCTTTTCTTTTTTTTCCTTCCTTCCTTCCTTCCCTCCCTTCCCTCCTCCCTCCCTCCCTCCCTCCTTCCTTCCTTCCTTCCTTCTTTCTTTCCTTCCTTCCTTGTGGAGTTTTGCTCTTGTCACCCAGGCTGGAGTGCAGTGACACCATCTCAGCTCACTGCAACCTCCGCCTCCTGGGTTCAAGCGATTCTCCTGCCTCAGCCTCCCTAGTAGCTGGGATTACAGGCACACACCACCATGTCTGATAATTTTTGTATTTTTAGTAGAGATGGGGTTTCACCACATTGGGCAGGCTGGTCTCAGACTCCTGACCTCAGGTGATTGACCTCCTAAAGTGCTGGGATTACAGGCGTGATGAGCCATGGCACCCAGCCTCCAGAACATTTTCATCACCCACAAAGGAAACCCCAAATCCATTAGCAATCACTCCCCATTCTCCCCTTCCCCTGGTCCCTGGCCACCACCAATCTGCTTTCTGTCTCTATAGATGCCTATTCTGGACATTTCCTATAAATAGAATCGTACATGGTGTGGCCTTTTGTGTCTGGCTTCTTTCACTCAGCATCATGTTCTCAAGGTCCATCCATGTTGTACACTGCGTCAACGCTTCATCCTTCTTCTGGCTAAATAAGATTCTGTGTATGAATGTACCACATTTTATTTGTCCATTCATCTGTCAGTGGACACTTGCGTGGTTTCCACTTTTTGGCAATTCTGAGTAGTGCTGCTCTAAGCATTCGTGTGCACATCCTGGTGGATATCGAATCTCTTCTCCGCGTCTTAGTAACACACGTCACTTACTCCCCACTCTCTCATCCTTCTATCTGCAGTATCCCACCCGCAGGACGCTCTGTTCCTCTGACCGGGGTTGTAAAAAGGGATGGATGGACCCACAGAGCAAAGGTACCTTCTGTTTCTTTTCCCGAGACCCTAGGGTTGGATGGTCAGGCATCTTGGTGACATTTGTGATGCCCAGTTCAGGTCTTCAGCCTCTGCTCTCAGCTGTCCTCTTCCACCATCACCAAGCCATAGGCGAGTCTGCCCATGCTTCGGCTCTGTCCCCAGCAGACCAGCTGCTGACTGTAAACATGACTCCAGTGTTCCAGTGAGAGAAGCTCCTAAAAATCTAGCAGGTTCAGGTTCTAATCGGTAGAAAAATCACATGGCCTATAGTATCATCTGAATATTCTAAACTTCCCCCTGAATCAAAGGTTAAGGACCATGAACTTATACCCCCAGGGAACCTGGCAGTAATACCCATATTAACCTGCAAATTTTAAATTTTATTTTAATTTTTACTTTTCAAAAATTTTTTGTACTGTTTTATTTTACTTTTGATTTTATTTATATCTAAGAACAGTGCTATTGTGATATCTGCAGAATTTCTTTATCTCATGTTTTAACTTAGAAAGGCACAGGGCACCGGGTGCAGAGGCTCGTGCCTGTAATCCCAGCACTTTGGGAGGGTGAGGCAGATGGATGCTTGAGGTCAGGGGATCGAGACTAGCCTGGAAAACATGGTGAAACCCCATCTCTACTAAAAATACAAAAATTAGCCAGGCATGGTGGCGCGTGCTTATAATCCCAGCTACTTGGGAGGCTGAGAAATGAGAATCACTTGAACCTGGAAGGCGGAGGTTGCAGTGAGCCAAGATTGTGCCACTGCACTCCAGCATGGGTGACAAAGCTAGACTCCGTAAAAAAAAAAAAAAAAAAAAAAAGCACAGGGCAATTTTTTAAATACTGCAAAAACAAAAAAAAAAAATCAGTGGTTATGATGCAAATGCACACAAAAAGGCACATGGCCATTACTGCATTCTACTCCATACTATATGTGTATTCGAGTTGGTATAAAGATTATTTTAACATTGCTCACTATTTAATTAATTCTCCCTTGGAAGCTGGTTAATCATCCTGACACCCCAGGAAGATGCGCCATGCTTATTTCATGGCTTGGCGCATCCTGGACAGGCTGTGTACCCCGTGAGGGACTTGTGCCCTTTGGAGAGGCCATGTTCTAGTCCATTTATACTAAGTGAGAGCAGACACCTGTTCCGCTCCCCTCATGGGCACCTTTTCTTGTAAAGAAACAAAAGAGCCAGCAGAATCCACAGTCTTTCTGGTTCTGTCTGATCTCTATTATGTTTTGCTCGTTTGCCTTTCCTTGTGTTCGTTGTGGTTAGGACGGGCTTGATGGAAGCTGAAGCTGCGTGGGTTGGAAAGCCTGGTCAAAGCCTAGTCTTTTGCCTGGGTTGAGTTAATGATGTCCCTCCTGGAGAACTTTCTCTCCGCAATTCTTTCACATCTGTGGTTCTACGATGCTTTGGCCCCTATAGGAATTCAGACCGGAAGGTGTGTAGTGTATGAAGGGAACCGGAAGACCTGTGAAGTCTCTGCCTGGTGCCCCATCGAGGCAGTGGGAGAGGCCCCCCGGTGAGTCGCATGGGGAGACAGACACAGTGGCCCTCAGTAGCGACCAGATGAGGCCTTGCCGAGGCTGCTTGGGCCTTCCCCTCTCAGCACAGCCCTGCAAAGTCCTGGGTCCTACTGGCTTGAGGACCCCTGTGCTCTGGATGCACTGCTTGGCACAAACTAGTGTCTCTGGGAGGGCCCTGGTGGTTGGTAAACTATTGTAACAATTCTGTACCAACTGGTAAATAGCTACTACCCTGAGCATCCTTGGGTGTCCCTGGCCCCCTTCCCTCCCCCAGATCTTCCAGGGTACCCCCAGACCCCCTCCTCTAGTGCCACAGCAGGATCCCTTCTGACTTGTCAGTGTCCATACTGAGTGATTAAGGATAGGAAGGAAGGAGTGAGATGGAAGGGAAGGATGAAGCAAGGAAAGAGAAGAGGAAGGGGAGGAAAAAGGAGAAGAGGGAGGGTAAAAGAGGGGAGGGAAAGCAAGTTTTCTCAAATTAAATGCTCACAATGACATACAGATTTGGTGGTCCCTTGTATTGATGCTTCGCTTCAATACACAAAATCATGATGTTAAATCTCAGAAGCCACAAGGGCTGATGTATTTCAGCAGAGAAAGAAAGACCTGGATTCAATTCCTAGCTCTAACACTTTTTGCTGTGTGTCCTTGGGCAAGTGGCTTAACCTCTCTGAGTTTCAGTGTCCTCACCTGTAAAAGCAAAATAATAATTTCACCAACCTCATAGGGCTGTTGTAAGGACTAAATGAGATGATACTTGTACAGTTATTGTAAGGTAAGCCCCAAACCTGGCTTACACATACATACACACACACACACACACACACACACACAATCTGCCCCTGAAAGTGTGGTGGTTCTAGACTAGCACTGTCCAATAGAACTTTATGCAGTGATGGAAATGTTCTATATCTGTGCTGTCCAATAGGGCAGCTGCTAGGTACATGTGGCTATTGAGTACATGAAGTGTGACTACTGAATTTTTGAAAGATAGATAGATGATAGATGATAGATAGATAGATAGATAATAGATAGATAGAGTCTTGCTATGTTGCCCAGGCTGGTTTTGAACTCCTGGGCTCAAGCGATCCTCCTCCTGCCTTGGCCTCCCAAAGTTTTGGGATTACAGGTGTGAGCCATTGCTCCCAGCCTGAGTTTTTCATTTAATTTAAATTTAAATTGCCACACATGTCTAGTGGCTACCATATTGGACAGCGCAGTTCTAGACCAACATGATTCAGGATCATTCCCGCAGCATCATGGAGCAAAGAGAAAACTGCCCCAAGCTGGCTCATAGAAGGCTCAGGCGAAGGTTTCCCAATGCCGGGACAGGGGGTGCGCTCAGCGCATCACCCCTTATGGTTCTCAATCGCCAGTAGCTCCACTCAGGTTCATTTCTAGGTCAGGGGCATTTCTTTGTCACAGAAGGAATCACCCAGTTCTGGGAGATACAGCAACCTCCACTCAGGTAGTCCTTGGTTCAAGACAAGTGGCCCTTGACTGACTGTGGTTTCAGTTCCAGCTCCGCCATCAACTCACTCATTAAATAAACTGCATCTCCAGTGTGCCTGCCGCTGGGCTGGATTTTGATGTGACCTGGGCAAGCAACTCCCTGAACTTCAGTTTCTCATATATTATATGAATTAGCTAAGATGGTTCATTTAATCATTCATTCAACACATCCATCACCATGTAGTAGGTGTTAGATATTTATCTCATACGTGACTATGCATAAGAGACTTTGCTAAGGTTTAGGTAAAATACAAGTCCCAGATATGGAGCAAGTCCCAACCACTGTACATAGCTGAATGTGTAATTATGTCAGTGTGAGAGGTGCCACAGTAAATGCCATTGGGTCTTGTATTAGTCCATTCTCACACAAAGAACTACCTAGCCAGGTGCGGTGGCTCACACCTGTAATCCCAGCACTTTGGGAGGTTAAGGCAGGCGGATCACTTGAGGTCAGGAGTTCGATACCAGCCTGGCCAACATGGTGAAACCCTGTCTCTACTAAAAAATACAGAAATTAGCCAGGTGTGGTGGCACACACCTGTAATCCCGGCTACTCGGGAGGCTGAGGCAGGAGAATCACTTGAACCCAGGAGGTGGAGGTTGCAGTGACCCAAGATGTGCCACTGCACTCCAGCCTGGGTGACAGAGTGAGACTCCATCTCAAAAAAAAAAAAAAAAAAAAAAAGACCTACCTTTTTTTTTCGGTAAGAGACCGAATACTTTATGAAAAAAAGAGGTTTAATTGACTCACAGTTCCACAGGCTTAACAGGAAGCCTCAGGAGACTCACAATCATGGCAGAAGGCGAAAGGGAAGCAAACACATCTTACCATGATGGAGCAGGAGGGGGGCCGCGGGGGATGTGCCGCGCACTTCAGATCAGATCTCGTGAGAGCCCACTCACTATCAGGAGAACAGCAAGGGGGAAGTCCGGCCCCATGATTCAGTCACTTCCCACCAGGCCCCTCCTCCGGCACATGGGGATTACAATTCGAGATGAGATTTGGGTGGGGACACAGAGAAAAACCATATCAGATCTCAAGAAGGGAGAACTTCTTCTTAGAGGAGCTGGAGGGGCTTTGTGGAGAGTTTCAGAATGCTTTGCCCACTAGGTTTGCTGTATCCATTTCTCTTCACGCATCCCAAAGACCAAACCAAGAAACCAGAAACCTCTGGTCCCACTGGCCCATAGGCTCCCTCGGTCCCCACCGTCACTAATGGCCATTTTGCGTGTCTCTCTCCCAGGCCTGCTCTCTTGAACAGTGCGGAAAACTTCACCGTGCTCATCAAAAACAATATCGACTTCCCCGGCCACAACTACACCACGTAAGTGCCCAGGCTGCCTCGCTGTCTTAGTTATCTACTGCTGCGTAATAAATTATCCCAAACCTCAGAAGCCTGAAACAAGAAATGCCTATTGTCTCCCATGGTTTCTGTGGGTCAGGAATCTGGGAATGACTTTGCTGTGTGGTTCTCGCTCAAGGTCTGTCAGGTTGTAGCCAAGCTGTCAACCAGGGCTGCAGTCATTTCTAGGCTTGACTGGAGCTGGAGAACCCTTTTCCAAGCTCTCACACAGTTGCTGGTGGGAGGGCTCAGTTCCTCGCCCTAGGACCACTTGAGTACCCTTGGTATACGGTGGCTGGCTTCTCCCAGAGCAAGTGACCCAAGAGAGATAGAGCAAGCAACCGAGAGTATAACCGAGATGTAACCAAGAGTCTAACCAAGAAGGAACCAGGAGTATAACCAAGATGGAAGCCACAGTCTTTGGGAGCGACACTTCTGCCATATGCCATTGGTGACACAGATCAACCCTGGTCCAATGTGAGAGGCCACTGCCCAGGGGTCCCAGGAGGCAGGGATCGTTTGGGGCTTTCATGGAACCTCTTCACCACACTGGCTCACTCCTGGGAAAGAGACAGATCTGTTTTCACTGGAGATGTTTGTTTGTTTGCTTTTAATATGCACAGGAGAAACATCTTGCCTGGTTTAAACATCACTTGTACCTTCCACAAGACTCAGAATCCACAGTGTCCCATTTTCCGACTAGGAGACATCTTCCGAGAAACAGGAGATAATTTTTCAGATGTGGCAATTCAGGTTGGTGGTGCTTTGTACACTGGGATGTGGGGCTATATGTTTGGGGATGGAGGATGTCAAACGGCCAAGAGGCCGGGCCACTGGGTCTTCGTAATGTGGCTCACATTTACTGAGCATTTAGTAAATTCACCCTCTGTGCTAAGGGCTTTACCTACACTACCTCATCAAATCCCAAAACAATCTTATGAGTGAGAGCTACTTGGTGTGGCTCTCACTTTCCTGTGGCTGACATAACAAGTTAGCAAAGCTTACCGGCTTAAAACAACACATATTTGCTCATGTTGCCAGAGATCAGAAGTTGGGGACGATTTTCCCTGAGCCAGGGCCATGCTCCCCCCGGGTCTTTAGGGGAGAATCCAGTTCCGCGGCTTTTCCACCTTCTGGAGCTGCATTCCTTGCATTTCTTCAAAGCCAGCAGCATGGAATCTTGCCTCAGTGGCCACTTTCACTCCCTATCCTGTATCCAATCTCTCTCTGCCTCTGTCTTATAAAGAGAGGGGGCATTTACAAGAGGGGGCATTTAAGGACCAGCTGGATAATCCAGGATAATCCAGATCCTCCCATCTCAAGATCCTTCATTTAGGATGAGCGCGGTGGCTCATGCCTGTAATCCCAGCACTTTGGGAGGCTGAGGTGGGCAGATCACCTGAGGTCAGGAGTTCAACACCAGCCTGGCCAACATGGTGAAACCCCATCTCTACTAAAGATACAAAAAAAATAGCCAGGCATGGTGGTGGGCACCTGTAATCCCAGCTACTCGGGAGGTTGAGACAGGAGAATCACTTGAACTTGGGAGGCGGAGGTTGCAGTGAGCTGAGATCATGCCATTGCCATCCAGCCTGGGTGACTAAAGCGAGACTCCATCTCAAAAAAAAAAAAAAAAAGTCCTTCATGTAATCGCATCTGCAAAGAGCTTTCCCTAGGGGAGTACTAGGAGGTAAAGCAGAAAATATATTTGATAGAGTGCCCTGAATTCCAGTCTAATAAGTTTGGACTCGATCTTTAATGGGGGTGTGGGGGGCATTAAAGGTGTCTGAGTACAGGAGTGGTCTGTTGAAATTTGTATTTTAGGATACTGAATTTAACGGTGGTGTGTCCCAGACGGGGGTAGGGAGAGTGAGGAGATGCATTTGTGGCCGCCACAATAACACTTGTGCGAGTTAGATGGGGTTGTACACATGGTTCTTCAATCAGCATTTTTCCTCTAAAAATCTTAAGCAATCATAGCTATGCAGGGAGATGTCTGGCGGTTGCATAACTCACACCCAGCAGCCACAGAGACTGTCTCTTGTTGATCCTTCAGGGCGGAATAATGGGCATTGAGATCTACTGGGACTGCAACCTAGACCGTTGGTTCCATCACTGCCGTCCCAAATACAGTTTCCGTCGCCTTGACGACAAGACTACCAACGTGTCCTTGTACCCCGGCTACAACTTCAGGTAACTCCAAGGCCCCAGGTCAAACTCACCCAGTGGCTAGATCTCATTCCCAGCAATTGGTGAGACTAATTTTGGTTTCCAAGGCAACAAGATGAATGAAAAAAGACTTTCTCTAAGAACTAGGTGATAACTGAATTTTTTCCATAATTTTTTAAAATTCTCAAAGAGATGCACACTGTTAATTTTTTTTTAGTTATTTTTTTGAAATGGAGTCTTGCTCTGTCACCCAGGCTGGAGTGCAATGGCGCCATCTCGGTCACTGCAAACTTCCACCTCCCAGGTTCAAGCGACTCTCCTGCATCAGCCTCCCAAGTAGCTGAGATTACAGGCGGATGCACACTCTTTTTAAAACAAACTACTGGGAAACAGAAAAGCATAGAGGGGGATCAAAATCACCCATAATTCCCCTACCCTGAAATAATCAATGATAACCCTCAGGGGAATTTTCCTCATCTGCACCAATTATTTCATACAGCTCCTATGAAATCATAGCATGCATATGTATGTATGTATGTATAGTGGTATTCTGTGGGGTTTTTCATACCCCAGTCACTCAAAATTCTTTGTAACCATCACATTAATGATCATAACATTCCATTTTGTAGGTGAACAAATAACAAAATAACAACTGCTACAATTCAGGGAGTGTTTTCTTTTCTTTTTTTGTTTTTTGTTTTTGTTGTTTGTTTTTTTAGATGGAGTCACACTGTTTGCCCAGGCCGGAGTGCAGTAGCACGATCTCAGCTTACTGCAACCTCTGCCTCCTGGGTTCAAGCGATCCTCCCGCCTCCCAAGTATCTGGGACCACAGGCATGTGCCACCACATCCAGCTAATTTTTGTATATTCAGTAGAGGCGGGGTTTCACTATGTTGGCCAGTCTGGTCTCAAACTCTTGACCTCAAGTCATCTGCCCGCCTCGGCTTCCCAAAGTGCTAGGATTACAGGCATGAACCACCGTGCCTGGCCCAAGGAGGGTTTTCCATATACCAAGCACTCCCTGTCACCATCCCTAAAATCTCCCAACAACCCTGGAAGAAAGATATTATTGTTTCTGGAAGAAGATTTGCCCAAGACCCACAGCTGATAATACATGCTGCATAATTCTAACCCTCGTCACTCTGACCCCACACTCACACTCCATCCCTTCCTTCCCATCTCATGATTTTCTCGCCCATGCCTCCATGATTGAATATTTGAGTTGCTTCCAGTTTTTCTATTACAGATAACCACAGTGTGCATCTTTGCACATAAACTTTTGTTTGAATTCCAGGTTACTTCCTTAGGATAAATTTCTAGACTTATTAAATCAAAGGTTGTGAACATTTTATCATATGCTTTCAGATGTTTAAAAATATCTATGGTTATAATGTTTCGTTTTGTTTTGTTTCTGAGACAGAGTCTCACTCTGTCACCCAGGTTGGAGTAGACTTGGTGTGATTATAGCTCACTGCAACCTCTGCCTCCCAGGCTCAAGCGATCCTCCCACCTCAGCCTCCTGAGTAGCTAGGACTACAGGTGCACGCCACCATGCCCAGCTAATTTTTAAAATTTTTTTGTAGAGACGGAGTCTCATTATATTGCCCAGGCTGGTCTCAAACTCCTAGCTCAAGCAATCCACCTGCCTCGGCCTCCTAAAGTGTTAGGATTGTAGGTGTGAGCCACTGTGCCTGGCTTATACTTTTCATTTCTAGGATTTTTATTTGGTTCTTTTTCAAAGTCATCTATTATTGTTCCAGTGAGTCCCATTCTTACCTTAAGGATCCTACTACTTCTGTCCATTCTATTATATCATTCCTTTCATACCGATCTATTATCCAAAGTAACTTGAGTGGGAGTTCTCCTCATGGGCTTTGAAATACTGTCTTCAGTAGAAAAGATCTTATGCAAAGTTCTGCATGTGCTGTGTGTTATGGAGGTATTCCTTATATATTACTCAAAGCAGCCTCATAAACTGGCAGGCAGCCCCTTAAATGTGTTTCTGTTTCTGTTTCTGTTTTGTTTTGTTTTTTGGCCTGCATGATATTTTAAAACTTGAGACAGGCCAGGTGCAGTGGCTCATGCCTGTAATCCCAGCACTTTGGGAGGCCAAGGTGGGAGGATCACTTAAACCCAGGAGTTTGAGGCTAGCCTGGGCAACATAGGGAGACCCCATCTCTACAAATAATAATTTTTAAAACATCAGCCAGGTGTGGGCACATGCACCTCTGGTCCCAGCAGCTCAGGAGGCTGAGGCGGGAGGATTGTTTGTACCTGGGAGGTTGAGGCTGCAGTGAGCCGTGGCTGTGCTACTGTACTCCAGCCTGGGTGACACAGTGAGACCCTGTCTCAAAAATAAATAAATAAATAAAAAATAAAACTTGAGACATTCTATGTAAAACCTTGGACTTCCTGCTTTTCTTGAAAAATTAAACTATTTGATAAAAAAAATGAAACTATTTGACACCCCAAGGTCCATATCTTACATGGTGGCTGCGGGCTGGAGCTGAGTATCAGTGGTCCTATTTAGAAAGAGTCTGGGCTTTCTGGTTCATCACTGTCACTGCCACTCCTTAGTGCTTATACCTGGCCCGCATCCTCGTTTCTGTCATCTGCCTGGCCCCTGTAGGCATTTGAGTTTGAAACCCTTGACGTAAAGGTGGGCTGATGCTTTTTGCTTCCTTTGGGTCAATGGAATTTCATCCAGGGCACTGAAACCAGCTCCCAGTTGAGATAACTTTTTGATCATCCCCTGCTGCTCTGCTGAATAGGCCCATGGCCATTATTAAGAAGAGAGGACAGGATGAGTGGTCCCCTGACTGCCGTTCCAGGGTATTTTTTTAGCTATCAGCAGAAGCACGCGGGGCAGTGAACAATCAGGTTTCAGCAAATGTCCTTCCAGTGGCTGAGTTGAGCCCGAGAACATCTGCTCCTGGAGAGATCTGAGCCCTCTGAAGGCCTGAGCCAGTTACGATGTTAATATTCTTTTAGAACAAAGTGGTAGAGCATTTCTTGTCTGGAATGAGCACCAGAAGAAATCTTTGGCCAAAAATAAATTGTTGAGGGCCGGGAGCGGTGGCTTATGCCTGTAATCCCAACACTTTGGGAGGCCGAAGCTGGAGGATTACCTGAGGTCAGGAGTTTGAGACCAGCCTGGCCAACATGGCGAAACCCTGTCTCTCCTAAAAATACAAAAATTAGCTGGACGTGGTGACAGGTGCCTATAATACAGCTACTTGGGAGGCTGAGGCAGGGAGAACTGCTTGAACCTGGAAGGTGGAGGTTGCAGTGAGCCGGGGTCATGCCACTTCACTCCAGCCTGGGCGACAGAGCGAGACTCTGTCTCAAAAAAAAAAAAAACTTAAATAAATAAATTAATTAATAAATTAATTGTTGAGGTCTGTTGAGTAAGTGGACAAGTTATTTTCCAGCAGACACACAAGAGAAGGAAATTATAGGTTATAGGAGGTATTTCAGAAAATATAACTTTCTAAAACATAGGAAGCTGAAGAAGTTGATCACATTACAGAATTCTGTCCCTTACAAAACGATCCATGGCGAAATGTCCTTACTTAGTGAAGAGGTGATTCCGCTCATGCACGACCTGTGTGAAGTGGATCAGGCCACATAGAACGCACGACGCGCTTCTCAGGCCCAGCAGGAGTACGTGTCTGTGTTAATTTCCTGTGGCTGCTATGACCAATTGCCACAAATGTGGCCGCTTCAAACAACAGAAATTAATCCTCTTCTAGTTCTGGAAGCCAGAAGTTTGGAATTAAGATATCAGCAGGGCCACACTTGCTCTGATGCTCTACGGGAGGGTCCGTTCTTGCCTCTTCCAGCGTATGGTGGCTCCAGGCCTTTCATAACTTTATGGCGGCATCACTCAAATCTCTGCCTCCATCCTCACAGGACCTTCTCCCCTGTGTCTCTATGTCTTTAATCTCTCCCTTTTTTTGTTTTGTTTTGTTTTGTTTTGTTTTTTGAGACAGGGTTTCACTCTAGTCTCCTAGACTGAAGTGCAATGGCATAATTTCGGCTCACTGCAACCTCTGCCTCCTGGGCTCAAGCAATTTGATCTCTCCTTTATCTTATAAAGATACTAGTCATTGGATTTCGGGCTTACCCTAAATCCAGGATAATCTCATCTTGAGATGTTTAACTTAATTATATCTATCTGCAAACACTGTATTTCTAAATAAGGTCATATCACAGCCACTAGGGACTAGATACTTGAACATATCTTATTTGGGGGGCTCAACCCATTCCAGTGTGCAAAAAACATTCTTCTTCAAGGCCCGATGTTTCCCAGGGCATTGCCCACTGACTACCTGCATCAGAATAATTACTTGGTACCTTTACTGGAAATACAGACTCCTAGAAACATCTCAGAGCTTCTGCAACCACTCTTTGGGGGAGGGGCTTAGGAGTCTGCCTTTGAACACACTCACTCCAAGTGATCCTATTTTTTTTTTTTTTTGAGACGGAGTCTTGCTCTGTCACCCAGGCTAGAGTGTAGTGGCACGATCTTGGTTCACTGCAAGCTCCGCCTCCCAGGTTCACGCCATTCTCCTGCCTCAGCCTCCCCAGTAGCTGGGACTACAGGCGCCTACCACCACACCTGGCTAATTTTTTGTATTTTTAGTGGAGATGGGGTTTCACCATGTTAGCCAGGATGGTCTTGATCTGCTGACCTTGTGATCACCTGCCTCGGCCTCCCAAAGTGCTGGGATTACAGGCGTGAGCCACCGCGCCCGGCCGTCACCCCAAGTGATTCTTGCCTTCAGTTTAACAGCCACCATAACAAGACACTGGAAGCAGAAATTCACATGCTTACTACACAATGTTAACCTTCCCAGGCAAACCAACTCACATAGGGAGATAATGCCAAGCCCAGGGCAGGCAGTGGTGACACATGCTTGCTTGTGTATTGAAAAACAAATCACTGGCTGGGCACGTTGGCTCATGCCTATAATCCTAACGCTTTGGGAGGCTGAGGTGGGTGCATCACTTGAGCTCAGGAGTTCAAGCCAGCCTGGGCAACACAGTGAGACCCTCATCTCTATAACAATTTTTAAAAATTAGTTGGGTGTAATGGTTTGCACCTGTAGTCCCAGCTGCCCGGAGGCTGAGGTGGGAGGATGACTTGAACCCCGGAGGCGGAGGCTGCAGTGAGCTGTGTTCGAGCCACTGTACTCCAGCCTGGGTGACAGAGCCAGATCCTGTCTCAATAAACAAAAACAAACAACAACAAGAACAACAACAAAGATAAATCACTCAATATAGCATCAGGAGAAAAAGCTCTCTCGAAATAGTCACATGCAAAGAAATTAATTCCCTCCAGCCAGAAAGAGGCACTACAGTGCCTGAGAATATCTGATCGATTTCAATGTCAGGTTTTGAGAGGTTTTTTAAAAACAGTTTCAGATGTTTCTTACTATTTTTTGGCAGAACATCTGCCATCTGCTTTCTTCTCTCCTCACATCTTGTAACTAGATGGTGAATTAATAACTCAGAAAAAATATATATCTATATGTAACCTTATCTAAAAGCAATCATCAAAATGTGGTGAGAAGAAGGGGCAGATTTAAAAGTTTTATGAAGCATTTGTTTTAAGCCTCCTTAGTCATTCTTGAAAAACAAAACACACCACTTTTCCTGACCGCACCACTGGGGAGGGTTGCGTATTACGGGTGACTGATGAGTTGTGCCTGGGGCTTAATTTTTAAAGTTAGCACTGGGTGATGACAGAGAAAGGTCAATGCCACTGAAAGAATAATTTTTTTCTTTTTTTTTTTGAGGTGGGGTCTCACTCTGTCACCCAGGCCGGAGTGCAGTGGCGGGATCTTGGCTCACTGCAACCTCTGCCTCCTGGGTTCAAGTGATACTCCTGCCTCAGCTTCCCGAGTAGCTGGGATTACAGACGTCTGCCATCATACCCAGCTAATTTTTGTATTTTTAGTAGAGACAGGGTTTCACCATGTTGGCCAGGCTGGTCTCAAAGTCCTGACCTGAGGTGATCTGTCTACCTTGGCCTCCCAAAGTGCTGGGATTACAGACGTGAGCCATTGCACCTGGCCAAGAAGAATTTATTACATACTATTCCCAAGAGATAGGGCCACACCACACTATGCCAGGCCACACCAGGCCATGCCACACTAGACAGGGCCACAGGAGGAAGTACCAGATTCAGTCAAGAGGCAGAATAAAGGGGAAAGAATGGTCCAGAGCTTTACTGTGTTTCCCAATGGAAGGGCAAGGCAGGACTGGGGAAACAGCTTAGGGTGAACTACTTTGAATAATGCCAGTGGGTTCTGAGTTACAGGAATGGTCTCTAAATGTCTGGCCCTCACCCTACCTGTCCCTAAGGAGAAATACTGGAGAGTTAGAAAAGGAAGTGGTTGAGGGATTGGTTGGAGGGTTTGTAATATGATTTTCACACCCTCACAAAAGCTGGATTGCAGGGGAGATGTAAACAACTTCAGCCTTGGGAGGCCAAGATGAAAGGATGGCTTGAAGCCAGGAGTTCAAGGCTGCAACAAGTTATGAGCACAACGCTGCACTCCAGCCTGGTTGAAAGAATGAGATCCTGATTCTACAAAACATTTTTGAAAAATTTTTTTTTCTTTTTTCTTTCTTTTCTTTGAAACAGTCTTGTTCTGTCACCCAGGCTGAAGTGCAGTGGTACGATCCTGGCTCACTGCAACCTCCGTCTCCTGAGTTCAAGTGATTCTTGTGCCTCAGCATCCTGAGTAGCTGGGATTACAGGCATGTGCCACCATGCCTGGCTAATTTTTGTATTTTTAGTAGAGATGGGGTTGCACCATGATGTCCAGGCTGGTCTCGAACTCCTGACCTCAAGTGATCCACCCGCCTTGGCCTCCCAAAGTGCTGGGACTACAGATGTAAGCCACCTTGCCCAGTTGAAAATTTTAAAAATAAAAATTAGCCACGTATGGTGGTGCACGCTTGTAGTCCCACCCAGCCACTTGGGAGGCTGAAGTGGGAGTATCACTTGGGCCCAGGAGGTGGAGGCTGCAGTGAGCTCTGATCATCTGATCATGCCAGTGCTCTCCAGCCTGGGTGACAGAACAAGACCCCACCTCAAAACAAACAAACAAAACAAAAAACACAACTTCAGCCTTTAGTTTGGCCCTGAGATTAATGATTGCCAAATAGACGTATACAGAATCTAAGAAAATACAGTTTGCTGAGGTGTGCCTGTCCCCAGTCCAGTAATTAGTATCTAAGATTTACCACCATCCACTCCCGCTTTGTTCTAGATGCCAAACCTCTTCTTCCCCCTTAAGGAATAGTCATATTGCTTGAAGTTTTTTTTTTTTAATTTTTCTGCTTGTTGTTAATCCTGTATTGTTTTAAGATGTGCATTTTAATCTTAAGCGACAAGCTGATTTTCCGTCACTCTGAGATGATGCAAGTACAGGCGGTGACACGGGGAGGGGGATGCTCTTTGGTTCCAGGTGGTTGGAGAGAGTCACCCAGGGCTTTGGATTGTGTTCCTTCCCCTGCCACCTGTCACAGAGCCAGGGGACAGACCAGGAGGACTAGATGGGCCACTGTTTTGGCTTTTCCTTCCATAAAATACCAGCATTTTTTGCTAGATGCAGTGGCTTATGCCTGTAACCCCAGCACTTTGGGAACCTGAGGCAGGCAAATCACTTGAGCTCAGGAGTTCGAGACCAGCCTGGGCAACACGGCAAAAGCCTATCTCTACAAAAAATACAAAAAATTAGCCGAGCATGGTGGTGCATGCCTGTAGTCCCACCTGCCTGGGAGACTGAGGTGGGAGAATCTCCTGAGCCTAGGAAGTCAAGGCTGCAGTGAGCGGTAATCCCGGTGCTGCACTCCAGCCTGGGCAACAGAGTGAGACCCTGTCTCAAAAAAAACCCCAAAAGCCCAACACCTTCAAAGAGATCTTATAAATACAGATCCTTTTCTTCCTACAGATATGCCAAGTACTACAAGGAAAACAATGTTGAGAAACGGACTCTGATAAAAGTCTTTGGGATCCGTTTTGACATCCTGGTTTTTGGCACCGTAAGTCTCCTTTCCCAGCTCCGGGCACCGGCATCCTATGACTGTGTCCTAATTACTGCTGTGGGGCCTCCATGGAGGAAAGGGTTTTGGTCACAGCCATTAGCTAGCACTGGGCATGTCGCACATGGCATAAAAGAGGAAGAAGATGTCCTCGGGGTGCTGTCCCTGAATGAGTCATCTGACGAGTACAGGAGTGGGCCTGGAAAACAATTCTAACATTCGGCTTTAAAAATACTCTGATACTTAACAAGAGGGAGAAAGAAATCTCCTGTAAAATAATTTGTAAGTAACAGAATCCAATTCAAATTGGCTTAAGGGGAAAAAAAAAATGTTTTCAGTGGGCTTTTTTGGGTTCACATAACTGAAAAAATTCCAGGGGTTATTTTTAAGCTACAAGCATGGTTGGATCCAGGTGTTAAAACAACAACATCATCATCAAGAACTTGCCACCCTCTGTGTCTTATATACGTCCTGCTCGGTCTTGGCATCATCCCCAGACCAGCCATCTCTCTATGAAAGTATCAAGCAGCACCTTCGATCTGACCGGTTTAGCAACCTCAGTGAAAAGAAAATGCCTCTTTGCCAGAAGGTTCAGCAAAGGTCTCAGACAAATGTCATCGGCTCTGATTGGCCCACTATGGATGACATGCCCAGCGCTGAACTAATCACTGTGACCAGGGTCATGCCATACTCCCAATGGTTGGTCTCGAACCAACCCTAACCCAGCTCAGGGGCCAGCGGAAAGGCCAACACCCCAGCCCCTTACACACACACACACACACACACACACACACACACACTACATGGACTGAAAAGAAAATTGGAGTGTTGCCCTCTGAAGACAGAAGGAAAAGATGCCAGGTATGAAAAATCAACATATCCCACGACATGGTATCCAAGAGCATGTTATCTATGTAAGATGGTGATAAGCAGGACGAGAAGCAATGAGATATAGCTGAAAGAATGCAGAGACCACCGGGAATAAAAACCACGAGGCTGGGCCGGGCACAGTGGCTCACGCCTGTAATCCAAGCTCTTTGGAAGGCTGAGGCAGGTGGATCACGAGGTCAGGAGTTCAAGACCAGCCTGGCCAACATGGTGAAACCCTGTCTCTACTAAAAATGCAAAAAATTAGGTGGGTGTGGTAGTGGGTGCCTGTCATCCCAGCTACTTGGGAGGCTGAGGCAGGAGAATCACTTGAACCCAGGAGGTGGAGCTTGCAGTGAGCTGAGATCACGCCACTGCACTCCAGCCAGGGCAATAGTGCAAGACTCTGTCTCAAAAAAAAAAAAAAAAAAAACCACGAGGCCACCCAGACATTCCTTCCCTCTGCTTCTGAAGTAATGTCAAACCTTTTGGAGAAGAAGCTTGTCTGAAATCCTCACCTTGTATGAAGAAATGACAGCCCTTCGGTGGGTCTCTCCTTAACGTGTGGGCCCCAGTGCTTGTTCATGCAAAACCTTTATGGGTCTAAGCCCTGCATGGCTGAAGCAGGATGCCTGGGAGTCAGTTTCAGTCTGCGTAGTCTCTGCCTCGGCCAGCACTTGAATGCATCTATCCAAGTCACAGTAGGAGGCTCCGCTCCCCGATAGAACCAAGCATTGCACGCTGAAGCAAAAGAGCGCTGCTCTGAATTTCACCTGAGTAAACTCTCCCACTCTGTTTTTAGGGAGGAAAATTTGACATTATCCAGCTGGTTGTGTACATCGGCTCAACCCTCTCCTACTTCGGTCTGGTAAGAGATTCTCTTTTCCGCGCATTAGGAAAATGGTTTGGAGAAGGAAGTTACTAACGTGGCGCTTGTCTGCGTTTTCCACAGGCCACTGTGTTCATTGACTTCCTCATCAACACTTACTCCAGTAACTACTGTCGCTCCCATATTTATCCCTGGTGCAAGTGCTGTCAGCCCTGTGTGGTCAACGAATACTACTACAGGAAGAAGTGCGAGTCCATTGTGGAGCCAAAGCCGGTGAGGCCGCTGTGTTCACAGGACACCAAGACACGGAGAGATTCCGTGAAATCACTGAGCAATGAATGAAAGTTAGGCCCAAATCACAGGCTTCATCCTGTAGTGGACACGTCTCTGGGCTCTACCCCGATCGACCAACTCTCAGATAAATTCTTGGGTCTTAGAGAAGAATAGAAACAAAAAATGGAGGGGCAAGATAGAGGGAAGGCAATTTTTTATATCCAGGACTTGCCAATTTTGTCATTTATTTATTTATTTATTTTCAGATGGAGTCTTGCTCTATCACCCAGGCTGGAGTGCCTCCCAGGTTTAAGTGATTCTCCTGCCTCAACCTCCCAAGTAGCTGGGACCACAAGTACACACCACCACACCCAGCTACTTTTTATATTTTTAGTAGAGATGGTGTTTAGCTATGTTGGCCAGGCTGGTCTCAAACTCCTGACTTCAAATGATCCACCCACTCTGCCAGCCACAGTGCTGAGATTACAAGTGTAAGCCACTAAGCCCAGTCTGTTTTGTCATTTATTAAATTGGTATAGCCAAAAAAAAGAGAAAAGAATAACGACTTTAGAGAACAATTTGGCAGTGACTAATGTTTAAATGGTACATACTTTACAGCCTGGCATTTTCAGTTCTCCATACCTGCCCTAGAAAAATACTCACATGAGTACCCAACCAATACACGAGTGCAAGATGTACAAAGCAGGATTGTTTATTAAATTATCAATCATATATGATTATTAACAGTGAAGAAATAACCAAATATCCAACAGGTAAATGGTGAAAGAAACTATGGTAAATTCATAGAAAGGAATACCAGGCACCAGTTAAAAAAAATGAGATAGATAATAATAATGGCAAACACTTACACAGCACTTCTAAATGCTTTATACATTAACTCACTGAATCTTCACAACAACCTGATGTAGACAGATGCTACTATTATCTCTTTCTGTGGATGAGGAAATTGAGCTACAGGAAGGTTAAATAATTGGCCCAAGGCTGGGCACAGTGGCTCATGCTTGTAATCCCAACACTTTGGGAGGCTGAGGCAGGCAGATCACTTGAGGTCAAGAGTTCGAGACCAGCCTCGCCAACATGGTGAAACCCCATCTCTACTAAAAATACAAAAATTAGCTAGGCGTGGTGGTGCAAGCCTGAAGTCTCAGCTGCTTGGGAGGCTGAGGCAGGAGAATTGCTTGAACCTAGTTGGCAGAGGTTGCAGTGAGCCAAGATTATACCATTGCATTCCAGCCTGGGTGACAGAGGAAAACTCTGTCTCAAAAAAAAAAAAAATTATAGGGCTTGACAAGAGCAGATCTCCAAGACATTTTTTAAAAGAAAAAAAAAATCACTTGGACTCGGGAAGGGGAACATCACACACCGGGGCCTATCCTGTCTCTTATACACATCTAGATGTGTATAAGAGACAGAGCAAGACTCCATCTCAAAAAAAAAAAAAGAGAAACAAATGTATATTTTTAAATTACAAATGAGGTGTCACTACGTTGCCCAGGATGGTCTCAAGCAATCCTCCCGCCTCGGCTCTACCAAGTCCACCCAACTGCCCTCTCTTAAAAGTAGTCATTATCCTGTATCCAAAGATTAATTTTACTTTCTGCTAGAATTTTCTAAAAGTTGAATCATGTAGTGTGTAAGTGGTACATACTCGGTTGAGTGTCTGGCTTCCTTTACTTAACATTATTTTTGCGAGAGTCGTTCATGACGCTGTGTATAGTTCATTCCCATTGTATAATTCCGTTTTATAAGCATCCAACTTACTCAGCCATCCTACTGTTGATGGACATTTGGGTAGTGTCCAGTTTGGGGCTAATGCCAATAATGCTGCTATGCTCAACATACGGTACTCTACTGGGCAGTTACCTAAGAGTGGAATTGCTGAGTCATAAGGCAGACATATATTCAGTTTCAGGAGATACTAACAAACAGTGCTACAAAATGGTGGTTCTTATTCGCACTCTCCCCGACAGTTCTGGCTGCTGGGCATCTTCAATTTCCTAGGGCTGAATTACCATACACTAAGCGGCTTAAAGAACAGAAATGGCTGGTGGCTCACATAATCCCAGCACTTTGGGAGGCCGAGGTGGGCAGATCACCTGAGGTCGGGAGTTTGAGACCAGCCTGACCAACATGGAGAAACCCCATCTCTACTAAAAATACCAAAATTAGCAAGGCGTGGTGGCGGGCGCCTGTAATCCCCGCTACTCAGGAGGCTGAGGCAGGAGAATTGCTTGAACCGGGAGGCAGAGGTTGCAGTGAGCCAAGATCACACCACTGCCCTCCAGCCCTCTGGGC